AATCGCGATCTCGTATCGTGATGTATCTCGCTGATCGAGTCACGAAAGTGAGAATTTTTTTTTTCCTCGAATTTATTTTATTTCTTTATTTCTTATTTTCATTATTGTAAAGTATGTTTTATTCACTTTATTTTTTTTTCTTCTTCTATTTTACCTGAAATATGTTATATAAATTTTACCAAGAATATAATAAAAAAAATGCCAAATTACAATCACCAGAAATATTTTTTATTTTAAAAATTAAATTGTTTATCTGTAATAACAACCACGCTGACTGACATGAAATTTTTCAAGATTCCGGTGTTTAATGCCAATTAAACACGTTTCGACCTGTTGCTACGAGATAATTCGTAGTTTGTATGCTAGGAGTTATTTCGTAGTTAGCAGTCAACATGTTAAGGATCGAAGTGTTGTAGTAATTTAATCTAATATCCCTAATACAATCAATATTTCGTTCATATAATTAATATTCCTCTTAGGTAACGATTTCTTTTAGTATGGTCAATTGTAGGTATGTTGTTACCGTCTTCTATATAATTATGTTTATCTAAATATACGAAGGCTTCTGGTGATACAAATCCAAATTTTAAAGTGTTCGTAACATATCTGTCATTTATGAAAAATCTACACTAATCAAGTTTTTGACATTGAATAATTTATTAACGTTTGTTACGCGTGTTTCCCAATTAATTTAATAATAAAATTACCAATTCTGTATATACATTTGCAATCTTACAAATGTTTACATTGCTTTAATGTATTTAATAATTTGATTGTTTAATTCTAAAAATTTGTATGCATGATCTCAAACATTTTTTTTTAAATTGTCTAATATATTCTACTTAGCGGTTGTTGATCATATACCAAATGATATACCCATAAATTATAAATAGTCTAATTAATAGTTAATAGCACAGTATTTGTATACGATTGTTAAAATATTTGTTTTTAAAAAGACTTCAAAATATATAAATTAAAATAACCATAATTTTTTCAGAAATATTAATATTCTCTAAAACAGCTAAGTAGTTTGCTGTTCATAGTTTCTTACATATTGATTGTGATAAAATATTCTTATTTTATTGTAAAAATAATCATTTTACAGAAATGATGCACATGATACTTTTCTGAAATTTAAAGAATTTCTAATTAAAGAAAATTATGTTAAAGTCGCCATTAAACTTACCAAAATTTATATTTTTGATTTTTGTTCTTAAATATACACAAAAGTGTACATTTTTTTCATTTTTTTAAAAAGTGTTATTTATTAATCTTTCAAAAATTCCCAAAACTTGTTATTAGTCTGAAGCCTCAAGGCTTGCGTTACTTCTTTATGATACCTAACAAAATGAAGTTATATTCATATAGTACATTATTCTCTTTAAGAACCCTGACACGTGCATATGTGTACACTGAGTTATTTATTATATTAAAATTTGTCAATGGAGAAAAAGGTTTCAATCATTTTCGTGTAGATTCATTGATTTCCAAATCATTTTATCGTCGCAAAATCTTTCATTTTTTAACATAAGTAAAGTAAAGAATATAAAACAAGTTTAATCATTTTCTCTTTGTTTTGGAAAATTTTTCGTTCAGTAAGTTAAAAAAATTTATTATAATGCAGAATGCCCCATTCAGATATTAATTCTTCTGAATTCAAATAAAGACGTCTTATCCACTCTTAGTAATTTTTTCAAAGAATATTTTTTATTTTTCGCAAAGATTTCAAATCATAAATGGAAATTTGATAAAGGCTTAGACCATCCTCCACGGGTATAAATGTAGCCAAGTTTTTCCATATAATTATATATAGTTTGACTGGTAACTTTTAAAGCATCCTCAAAGTGAGCAGTCGTCCAGGAAGGATTTTTTGCTACTAATTCTGATAAAAACAGCATACGTTCGTCGAAAGTTACGGTGTTTAATGGATATATATGAGGGTAAAAAAATTCATATTGAATGAAAAGTTTAAACCAAAATTCAACTGCCTCAAAACATACGTTAGGAAACTTAAAATAACCCAACGACAAAAACTCCTCTACAGTATTTCTAATACTTATGCCCCTTTTAAAATTTTTCCACAATCTTTGCAGCACCTCTATTAATTTCAAAGCCATGTTCAAAGATGTTTAACTGAGAACATAAAACTCATTAATGCAAACGAATCTTAATATCCAAATATTCAAATAACTCTTTATATGAATGTTTAACTTTGCTTAATTATCAATTGTGTCTTATTTGGTTGCGATCGTAGATGACTTTGAAATATTACAAATCTGAATAAATATATATAGTTCGTACTGTTGTGTGTAGATTTGATTTTTGATAGAAGAAATCGTTATTAATAGCACTAATTTGAATTTCAGGAAATACATAAACAATAATATCTTATAAAACTATACGACTCAATCGTTAGTGATGAAATATTATAAATAATTGGCCAGCAATCGTAGTTGTATCAGGCAAGAAGTGATTCTACGTTTAAAAATAAGACCAATATTTGATGAGACACTTACTTTGAAGAAAATCTCTTTTGAATCTTGGACAATTTAAAATAATTTGATTGTCTTTCTTCTGACCAAATATGCTTATACCAACTAATGTTGATAAACATGAATGTTAATATTATTATAAAGAATGGCACAGAGTTCATTGCATATCAGAGCATAACAATTTACCTATACTAGTTTCTTATTAGTGGACTGCGAATATTTAAGCAAATGTATATTTTTGATGGAAGAAAATAAAGATGTAGAACTTGGATAGAAGTTTATTACGTCATTTATATATATATATATATATCAAAAATGTGTATCTTTTAGTTTGACTTCATAGTAAGACGTCTCGCCCCATTTTCCATAATAAATTAACGTAGTAATAGAACTATACCACAAAGAAGTCTACTCCAATATTCCGATTGAAAAACAAGCGAAACTAAATTATAGTAGTTCGGGTAAAGGACCAATAATACCCTTTTTCAGTAGTTGAAACAAATAGCCAGTAAGATCAAATAGCTTAAGAACCCATGGAAAGTAGGCAAAACATATTTTATCAAAGTCCAAATTTCATCTCATACCTACCATATATTAAAAGGAGACTAACTAAGCTCGGTGGCGATTCCTATGGCATCATTCATGTAGCAAAGGTGCGAAATTTAGACCAACTTTAAAAACATTTTTTTAAGGCTGATATTTAGATATTTTATTATTTACCATTATTATTGTTAAAAACAAATAATGGCAGACAATTATGACGATTCTGAAGCTATGGCAGACACTTTTGAAAAAAAATCGAATTTCAAATGTATTTTAACAAATCTGAAATTTTAATATATTGTTTATTATAGTATTAGGAGCTTACATTTTATACGCCAGAGACATTGTTGTGCACTTCCGTACTGTGCACGCTCTTGTGTACGCGCTTTCTCACTTTGTTAGGAAAGGGAATACAATCCCTTTTGACTTCCACGTTATAAAGGTGGAAGAAGCTGATCCATAAAAAATATGCTTCAATTATAACTAATTGAAGACATATTTAATATTCGTTATACAGCAGCGTAGTACTTAGCCCTTGTTCAACTTATCTGCTCTACTCTCTTTCTTACTAGTAGTAACCTTTGCTCTATACTAACTAACTGAATTTGTTTATAACAATTGAATCAACTGACTAAATATGACTCAACTGAACTAAACGTGGATCAACTGAATCAGAATCCACTTAAAAAACCTGAGTACGGATCAACTTACTGAAATTACTGAACTTGGATCAACTAGTTATAGCAGTCTTCACCTCCTACTTATAAGTCTTTCCCTACCAAAGGGCACCAGTATGACCTCGGAGAAAGGATAGCTGTAGAAACTACCACCTTCCAAATTTGTCACTATATTAAAAATATTTTCATAAAATACTTATAACAAAAGACTAATTTTACAGCAAAGAACATATTTGATTTTATTTAACCTATTTGCATCTATAAACAAAATATTCTAACATGACAACTGTCTCTTAACACCGAGCACAGATCATCCTGCAAGCTTCAATTTTCTTTTATCATCAGCCAGGAAAAATTCTACGTATGACAGAGTTTGCAGAGAACGTCATTGCGTTCTTAACAAATTTTACTTTTATTAATCATTGTGAAGATCCATCTAACTGCCGTTAAGAATAAATGATGTCAATTTTCTAACTGATGTTACAAGTAAACAGTGTCAATTTAAATCCAAATTTAAAAAGACCCTTATCTTATAATATAAAACAACATTTAGTTCTCCCAATGGATTCCAACTATTTTGATGATTTAGATTCAAGTGTAGAAATAAGATATACTCGAAAACATATCCATCATTTTTCATCAAATGATGACAACGAAGATGATCAATGCAGTAGTTTGGTAAATGGAAATTTTGTACGGAAACCCCAAAATCATATGTCAATTGTACATAAATTTTCAGGCAGAAGCGGTGTAATTGTAAATACACAAAATCTGTCAAGAAAAGAAGTCTTTGAATTATATTTTAATAAAGAAACTAATTAGTAAAATAATCTCAGAAAAAAATAAGTATGGAGCAATTAACGCAGATTTTGTATACCAGTTACAAACGAAAAAACTAAAAGCATTTATTGCTTTAAACATTTAAAGCCCACTATTCAGAGTTATTAGACAGAGTTGTTATACCCTATAATCGATTTATCTGTATTACAACAAATTCTCATTTTACCAATAATGATATTTTCAACCCATTAATAAAAATTCGAGAAATTTTTTATATAACAATCGATAAAATATATCGATTGATGAATCATTAATGCGTTTACATTATACACAATTTATTTATCTGAACTAAACGAGAGCGAGATTTAACATTAAGTTTTATAAACTATGTGATTCTAAAACAAGATAAAAATATTACTTTACAATATATGTAGGAAATGACAAAACTAATACTGGATCTGCTAGCAGAAATATTGTAATAAATTTGTTGAAAGAAAGTAGACTACTGTACAAAGGATACTGTTTGTTTATTGATAATTGGTATAATTCATTGACTTTATATCGAAAATTATATAATGTACAAACAAACGTATGTGAAACAACAAGGATGAATAAAAAAGGAATGCCTTAGAAACTAAATTCCTCCAATTTGTAAAGACAGAAACTATGCATTTTCTACATCAGATATGACGACTATAAAGTGGAAAGATGAAAAAGATGTTTTATTAACAACAATGTATACTTTAGATTTTGCCGAAATGAAAAAAATAAACATATATACAGGACAAAAAATTTCAAAACCGTCAGTAGTAATATATTACAATAAGAATATGGGTGAAGTTGATGTTGACAATTAAATGTTAAACAAATTTCACACTATGCGAAGATGTAAAAGAGTCTATAAAAAATATTTTTTTATATGAGACATAGACATGATGTTATATTATTATTATATAAACAGTTATATAATTTTCAAAAGCAATAAAAAAAGTCGAGCTTTCCATGTCTACAAGCAAAGATTAGCCCAAAAAATTATTAAAAAATATTTAGCAAACATAAGAGTAACAAAGGCATCATCTGTCAATTATTCATTAACACGATATACTAGCTAGCATTTTCCTATATGGATACCTCCAACACTAGCAAGAGGATCAAAATATCAAAGCGATACGTTCAATGCTTATCTATGTTTATTAAAAAAAAACAGTTTCTAAATGTGATGTTTATGATGTAACATTATGCATCGATCATTTTAAAAAATACCATGTTAAATAAGCTTCTTAAACTATTCTGTAGTCAGTTTTTGTAAAAGTTAACTATGCACTGTAAAACACTTATACTGTAGAAGTTAACGAAAATAACAAAACTGTGATACAGGTCAATCTTCAGTTGAATGACGCTGATGTCTGAACACAGTAATTTAAGTAGAGTCATAATGCAAATGGGTTAAACAAAGTAATGTGGTTTTTTAACTATAATGCCATATTCTGCAACTGCAGGAGTCAGGTCTTCCATAGTAAGCATATAACGTCTATCCTTTCCTTTTGTTTTTGTGTTTTGATTAGCACCGCGTGTTTTACCATGTTGAAGAGCGTCATTAGCAATTTCCGATATGAATTTTTGAGCAGCTAATGATACTAAACGCACTCTGTAATTTAACATTAATGAATAACGATATATTGTTATTAGCTTTTTTTTTAATATATAATATATTATTTGCATTTTATTGTCTAGTAGAATTTGTATATTTACATTTTAGGATCAGTAGAATTAAAACCAGCAGTGTGCAAATAATGTTCACTAATAGCGTCAGGTACCTAAAATAATAAATAATTAATAATAAAATAGATCAAATAATATATAAAAAATGAAATGAAATGTTTAAAATTTTCAATACCGTTGGTGTATAGTCTTCTAATTGTAAAAGGAAATCAGAAAGTGGCTGACCAGCTTTTTTCGGTTCTTCGTTTGTATACATTGTTGGAATATCTCTTTCAAAATTTTCTGCCATTTTTTTTTAGTTTAAACAATTCTAAAAACATTTAAAAAAAGCATTAAATAAGAAAATTATAATCTGAAATTAAAAGAGGATGACATTTATTTAAACATGGCCAGGAAATTTTGATAATTAATAAACATATTTATGTATACAGGGTGATTCACGAATCGTGATCAGTAGAGATTATTTTGATATTAACAATCCGATAAGAAGTGTTTTTATCAGGTATTGAATGGTTTCAAGATTGCTTTAACGCATATAGAGAAAATTTGTTATCAATTTTCTTTTCATTTTTCAAGGTCACCTTGAATTTTACCAAATAAACCTATAACTTTTTATGTTAAAGAATTTAAAAACAAATTCAGTAAGTACCATAACATTACATATCATTTCCGACCGAACTACTAATAACAGAGCTAATAACAATACTTTCGACTAATCACGATTCGTTAATCACTCTGTATTACGATTATTTAATTAAAATTATTATTAAAAAATTGTTGTATGTGTTCTAGAATTTATGATAAGCCTAACCTACAATACATATCCATACATCATATATATTTAAGTATATTTGTTTGCTAGAAAATTTACATAAGGTCGTGCCGTTTGTTTTTTTCTTTCTATGCACTCAAGTTTTATTTTCCTTCTTGACGATAGCACTTCCCTTCTCACTTTGATGCATAGCACTGGTATACGATTGTAAGCACTCTAATAAACTGTGTAACGGAGAGATTCGGGATAATAATATTTATTCTCACACTGCACGACTATATCCTTGTCCTGATTCGCACGTTCAATGTCTCTGGTTATTCTTCCCTAGGTCATCAATCCTTACGAGATATTAATACTAGTTTTAAATGCTACCGCAAGCTGTCGCTGTTCACGTCACTAGATAATAGAAACTTTCCATTAGTCCCTACAAACATATTCGTAATTAAAAGCAAATTGAGTGACATCTGATATTCAAATCCAGAATATACGTAAGTAACGTCTATGAAAAAAAGAAATGACAGTTTCCATAATATCATTCTCAGCAGATATAACCTTTAAAGATTTTTAATACTATACATTGAAAAGAGTAAATATATTGTAAAATTTTATTGTTTAGTTTCTAGTTACTATTTATAAATATCAATGTAAGTTAATACTCAATTTAATATTGTTGATGTGCAGATCTAATCTCATTCATTTACAATTTTACTCTATTTAAGATATTCTAAAATAAACACAATTTCTCTTCATCTTACTTAAATATAAGTATAAAGTGTTGATATCTGTGTTATGGACAATGTATTTAACGTGGGAATTCTATACAATGCCTGAAGTAGGTTTTGGTCAATTTATAAAATGTCTGATCATTATAAAAAATACCCAGAGGATAGTATTCAATGTATTGAATCACTCTGATAAGGAAATTTAAAAATATATACACAATGCCTTTAACGAGTTTCGGTCAATCTATAAAATATGTTTGAATTAACCATGTTTAGAACACATGAAGAGGGTGGAAATTACTTAAAAAAAAGTTTTTAAGCTATTAAAAATGAAATAAACCAGCAATGATTGTGAGATGACAGAGATAAGAAAACATCTATCAGAATAAAAGAATATGTAAGAGCGATAGGCAGAATACAAGCGATGATGGATTAAGATAAATGAATATCTCCTCTGTTGTTTTTTTAGTAAAAATCAACAAACAATCATTTATAATCACAATTAATGATAAGTGCCATTTAATGCAGCAAAGAAAAGAATTGCAGCACTTGAAATTGCGGAGTTGACCGGTGGCTTTGTACATGCTCTTTTTAAAAACACATTTGGCTTTACAATTCCTTTCTTATACCCCTGTAACCTTGACATATTACTATTAAACACATTTGTTTTTGCAGTTCCTTTCTTATACACCTGTAACTCTAATACACTGTTAAAAAATACCGCCTCCCTCAGAGAAATCAAAATTGATTTTTCTCAAATGTTATCCGCTTTTGCAGTAACAGCAGCTAAGTCTAATAATTTTTCAGAGCACAAATGTATTTCTGCACGCATGTACTTGTGCTTGAATTGGCCATGTTCAGAGCACAGTGTGTACAGATCCTCATCAACACTCTTCGTCATGGCTAGGATGTTATTGGGAGATTCACGACTCCTGTCAACGTTAGAAATTGATAGACAAACTGTTGCTTCCAGTTCAACTGGAGGAAACTTGTTCTATGTTCATTTCAATATTTTCCTAATCTGCTTTCCAAAGCATTCACTTGCACTTTTTCTGTTGTTTTGAATAGATTCCAAACAGATGCAAGTCAGATATTTTAATTTAGACCCTTATTTCGTCAGTAGGGTTTAGCAAGTAGAATATTATTCATTTTCCACAACACGATGCCATGTTGGTTGAATAGATCGTTCTGAGTTATCAATTGTCAATGTTTGTACCAAGTTTTCCTGTGAACGTATGCAATCAACTGCTTCAGTGGGAATACTGATGGAATTAAAGCTATATACTGCTTGTGAGCCGAACATAGCTTCGAAAGGAGATTTTCCTATACCTAAATGCACTTCATGGTTTTTCTGAAATTGAACAAATTTCAGTCCTGATGGCCAATCTCGGGTGTTGTTTTCTACCATCCATGTAGCCAATATAGATTCAACGTCCCTGGATACTTTTACCACTAAACCTTGTGGCTGGCTACATTGAAGTTTTCCATGGACTATATTCACTGAAGCCCACATCTCGTGCAATTTTGTTATTACAGAAATTACAAATTCTCTGCCATTACCAGACTGGAGAATAATAGGTATCCCAAAAGTTGTGTAAATGTCCAAAAGATGACTGGCCACTTCTTCTGCCTGGTTCGTCTTCAAAGCTCGTATAATTACAAATTTGGTTTGATAATCTTGATGTACCATGATGAACCGGTAATTATTGTAGTTATGTAATTGCATATCAATGATATCAATTTGCGCTCTAGAAAAACAAGTAGAATGCAAAACAGGCCCTGTAACTAAATTACGTTTGGGCGTAATGCTCTTATTTTGGCAAAAATTACACAAGCTAAGATAAATCATAACTGTTTCTCTAGTAATATTAAAATATTTGCGGTGTAGTTCTTCAATCATGCGATTCCGTCCTCCATGCCCAATGTTTAAATGAGTGCTATGCAAAATATCAAACAGTTCTTCTTGATGTACAAAGAACAAGATGGGTTTTGATATGTCTGTAATTCGTTTAATTAATTTCTCTTTACCACCATCGTTAATAATGTCAAACCGTTCTGAAAGCCAATAGTGCATGGGAAGTTTCATTTTTCCCTTACTACTGCTCAAAATATCTTTAGCTTCTTTAACAGCTTCTATTCGATTCTTATACTGATCACTGCTAAGGAAGGTGCTGTTATCTTTTTTTTTACTTATGAGTTTAGTCAGCTTTTGTTCAAACATTTCCCGCATTTCTTTCACATCCATGGCGATGAGAAAAAATGTATGTTGCTAATTTTATTGAATTATTGAATTCTATTCAAATTATGTAAACGTTTTAATGTGTCTTAAGAGGACAAATGAATAGTCCAGGATACCAAGATTAAGGTATCTGCAGGAAGGGATGGGGGATTAATTACTGTACAACACGTTCTCTATACGACGCCCATGGAGCCTATATACAAGGAGGACGATCGCCGTGTTATAAATGTGGGTACAATATTCACAATGAAAGGATGATTTCTATTGCCACTAGAGAGCGCATCTAGTCGCTTGGTCTGATTTTTAATAACAGTAATAAAAACAAAAACATCAAAGAGAACTATTAATTTCATTTGTTTATTTATAAAATCACACGTACTTAAATCTAAATTTAAGAACATCACCGCCGCCCTCGTGGATAATTATCGTACTCGATATTCAGTCTTTTTCAACAACACAAATTCGACGCAAACGCCTATCTCGATCGTCCTCCTTATATACAGCTTCGTTTTCATAATTATCCGCTACAATAGTATAGCGTGTTCAATAATATTCAAAATAATTAATTCACTGGGGAAAAATATTAAATGAATATTTTTATTATAAACGTATCAAAAAGAAACCTATACAAAATATATAACAAACTTAACAATAATCTTAAAGAGGAAAAAGGAAGTAGTGATTAGTGTTCACGTCTTTGGTCTCTGCTAGTGAATAAGTGTCTGTCTTGCTCGGTGGTTGGGACGGAAGAGAGCGAATAGCAGCGGTTGTTCAAATGCGTGGTGTTTTTTTAGTTCTTTTGTTTCGCCACTAGGGGCATGACGGTAAGAGTGCCGGAGGCGCCAAGCTTTGGCATGAGTTTAGTCATTTGGTGCCATCTCGCGGCGGCGACAGAAAGTTGATCCACTAACCGTAACTACTCTACCAACGAAATATTGCCGGCCGGCAACACCTATGTGTTTGTGTATACATTCAATTGTCTCATGCTCATTTGTTTATTCATTCAATTGCTCACCCCTGCTTCCTGCGCAGTTATATTTTAAGGAAATAAAGCAAACCACGTTGTCTGCTACTTCCGCTCTTTATACTTCTATCTTAACCGGACACACAGGCAATTCACTTATACTTTTGCTTTTACACACATCTATACTACATATATATATATATAAATATATATCTTTCTAACAAAACAAATATTAACTGTAAAGTACGATCTTCAGTTCATTTGAAAACATAATAATAGGTTAATACTTTGTTTCTCGACAAAAAAGTGTAGCAGTTTAATACAATCAGTTCAACTATTTCGTTAATCTTAACATAAAAGAGGTTAATCAGGTAATATTTTAAATATTTTTAAACAATCAATTTGAAATAATAGACAATAACCTCTCATTAATTCTCGATGGAGAAAATAAATTGCATTAACGAGTTTAACCGTTTATAACATCATGTAATTTTGACAAATATATATGTACATATATATAATAAAATATATATTATAAATAATTTGATGTAATATATATAATAATAAAAATATAAGAGATTTAAACATATTATAAATTTTATATATAAATATATATTTATTATATATATATATATGTTTGTATATTTTGGAATTTATTAAATCTTATTTACATTACCACACATTACAAAATTATTTATTAGAATGATGTAATAAATAATTTGTATATGAATAAGAAGTTTAAATATTTTGTATAAAATCTAAATTATTTTTTATACAGAATAATAATATTATCTTATATACAAAATACTATAGGTAGTGTTGGGTAATGTTGGCATCTATTTTGGTTACTTTTCGAACAATTCAATCTTCACAGTATTTTGAATCAATTCGATATTTATCTAAAGTCAAAAATTCTTGAAACTCTTAAAAGTTTTGAATGTTTTTAATTTCTTGAAAGTTTTAAAAATTATTGTGTCTGGAAATCTTGAAAATTTGGAGTCTTGATAGTCTTAATAAAAATTTATTATAATAATTGCAAACCTATGAGAGAGAGAGAGAGAGAGAGAGAGAGAGAGATCGTTTTAACATCTAACTAATTATAATCGAGTAATACATAATAACATTATTACTTTAACATGAATAAAACAGTAGTAAGAAATACAATAACAAAGATATTTATTTTAATAATTCAAATATATTTTTATAATATATAAATCCCTCTAATTCCAAATATTAAATAACACTTTATTAAAAACTAGTCTACGTTTATTTGTCTACGAATAGTTCATGTTAAAAGAATATAAATCCCAGCTATATGCATTATTGATATTACACGAAGATACATGCGAACTCTGTGATTCTCATTTATTATTATATAATCAATACAATTTCTCAATTGTATTATTGTATTAGGACGTACTTATTCTTATTTATTGTAACCTTGATATATTATAATTGTAATGTAAAGTCATAGTGTTTCAAGAATTCAAAATTTTAAAGACATTCAAAACTTCCATAACATTGTAAACTCTAGAATTGTAAAAATTATGTAACTCGAATAATGCTTGAAATGATTCAAAGTGATAACGCATCACTAATTGCACAATAACTACTATATACAATAGAAGATTTGAAGGTCATCTTAAATTTATTAAATAAAACTGTGCATATTTGAATTCTTACAATTGTAGTTTTTTTGAAAATAATTTTAATGGAAAGAAAACTTGATGTGCTAGTTAACACATTGTTGACCGGCAATTTTTTTTGAGAATTTATCTCATGTCACCGGCTATTATTTCATAATTGGATATGGAAGTAAAACAATATAAATAAACTTTAATAAATTTTATTCATTATTCAACTTTTAATATTTCTTTTTTATATGATAAACAGTGTAACAGTCACCTATGTGTAATGGTACGCAACAACTTTTACAAATATATCTAGTTTCGCTGCATTTTCCTTTCGAATAGCATACTCTACACGCTCTAGTTGGATTTGTTTTTCTGCTAGTGATTATTTTTTCTAAGACGTGGTCTCTTAGTTGTCTGGAAAGCCTGAAGGATGAATCATTATAAGAAGCTATTTAAGAAATTTTAGAAATGTCAGGTGCAATGGTGCATTCTTTTGAATCCACAGTTAATATACTCTAGCTACTTCTAGTAGAAATTTTTTGTATCTTGTTTTATTTGTTGGTAGATAAGTATAGTACATTTTATATCCATTGAACAAGGTGCAGTTTATCAGAAAATAGTGCTGTTCGTCAAATATTGATTGGCAAGATCTATCCCTTTCATGTGCTTATTGTACTATAATTTGCACGTAAGTTTAATTGTATCATCTATAGAATTTCTTTTTAGCTTTCTACTTGATTTCACTGAAACATCATGAATAGTTGATATCATGCGTACTATTCTTTTATCCTTCCTAGCAATAAGAACAACAGGTCCCTTTTGTAAAAAAGTCATTTCTCTTGTACGTAGACTTTTGGATTTTTCTATCAAAACTTTTGGCAAGCCACAGCTTTCTCGTATGGTACCACACACTAGTGTTTTTTTTTTTTAGCAATAGCTCAGCTGTAGAAATGCTGTTATAATAATTGTCTTGGTATATGTGATGCCAATGACCAAGGTATACCTTTAACACAGACGATGTAAGTTCTTGTAGCTTTTTGCCTTCTCCCGAATAGATTTTTAAGTTGCATATATATCCACTCTCACTTTCACAAAGCATTCTGATAAAAATTCCATATTTTATTATTTTTGCCGAGTTACACATTTTAAAGCTGAAGCGTCCTCTGTACGGTACCATTGCTTCATCTAGAGCTAGCTCCTGTTTGGGTATGACTGAAATTTTGGAATGATATAATCCAAAAGCGGTCTAATTTTGCAAAGTCTGTTTTCAGGAGATTTATGTTATGTATTATCATTTAGATGAAAAAATGTAAGTATTTGCTCAAATCACATTCTGGACATAGTTGTTTGAAATATTGGTGCTTCAACTAAAGGACCTATTGACCAATAATCTCTTCAATAAGATTTTCTGATTTGGCCTATCAATTCTGTAGAATGTCGGATTTCATACTTTGCCGATAACGTATGGACCGTTTATTTTGAAAGTGGTGTAATCCATTTTTTAAAAAAATGAGATATCACGTAATTTATACTTAATTTAGTGTAAACTTTCTAGTATGTGTAAACTAGTTAGTATTTAATTTTTTAAAAAATGTTAATGATTTATCCAATTGAAAATTGGCCGGTAAAAGAAATTACGTAACCATTGATTATGAAAGTGGTGTAAATCCAATTTCCATAGAAAAAAGAAAAATATAATATAAAAAAGAATTTCAAGTATACACCACAGGAATATTATGATATTATAAAACAGTGTAAACAACATAATAAATTCATTTTACATGAAATGAAACGAGAAAATTTCGTTCCAACGAAGAACCTACAGAACGCAATCAAAAAACAGATAACAAAAAACAATAAAAAAAAAAGGTAAATTAGTTGCAAATATGCTGAATAAGGTTTTGAAAAAGTGCACCATATACTTTTTTATATAAAATGTTGATGAAAGACACAGAATGTAAGACTTAAAATTTATCACCTACATGTCCGGAAAAACCAGTCAAAATTTGAAAAAATCGCCTGGTGCATTTGTATCACGATGCTATGCCTATTTCTTACGAAAAATATAAGAATATCAAGCAGTTATTACACTATATACCTCCTGTGCATCATAAATATTTAAAAATACTGCCACATAAGGAGCATAAATAAATACTACTAATAATATTAAATTTATCAATATAATTAACGTTAAAAATAAAAAATACTATTTCTACTTTATTTCTTGTTATTATTTGTAAACAAAATTGGATTAATATGAAATATATTTTAAGTGATATTTTATTTTTCAAAACTGAAATTAAACGATTGTAACAATTGACTAATTTTGAAAGTGGTGTAAGTCCATTTACAGCCCCTGTAAATATACATTATTGTAGTTAAATTAGCCTTTAAAAGTAATGTATATGTTACCGTCAAAGCGGGAAATCAGGCAATACTAGTAAATCCTCGTCATTACTATGAATATGAAGAGCCTTCAGACGAAGTCAGAAATTGAAAAATTCTATTGAACATAATACTTTGATATTCTATAGAATTTCAAATTACTATTTAAACAACGTTAAAAATAATACATCCTCGAGCACAGGCCCGACGCAAACCCCCACCCCCCACAAACACACCACTAATCGTTCCAAAACACATACACAAAAACGAGCATGGTGGGGGTTGTTGAGACTGTATGTCCCTATAACAGAAAATCTATATTCTTTGTCCTTTATCGTATTGGAAGGTAAGCGGGTTTAGAATTAAATGTTTTATACCTGCATTTTATTAAATGGGATTAGAAAAAGTTTACCAAAATCTGGTAACATTTAAAATAAAATGACCTCGCCTAATGTCCTCGACAAACCTACGACTAGTCCAGTCAATAAAGGAAAACTTGGAAAATTTAGCTAGCTTGGGAAAACTTGATATAATGG